TATACGGCAAGCGTTCAATGATTGCATTGAACACATCTACTGAAAATCCACTGATACTATAATTCCCTGTGAATTCATCATACTCCACTCGCAAAAACAGATTGAACAATGTCCCCTTTGGCACTCCAATCCTCAATCTGTTTGTCCTTGTTGGCAGTGTCCACCCTTTCGGAGCAATCCTAGGTTCCCCGGGCCAAATCACCATCTTCAAGCTCTCCATAACGCTCGATCATCCATATTGTTAATGTACATGTTAATGTACCACTAAACCTAACCCACTACACCCACTCAACTCCACTAAACCTAACCCACTCTACCTACCACCTCCACTTCACCCCCTACCAGCACCACCACAATCTGCTACCTTCTCTTCTATATATAGGAGTTGTAATCAATATACACAAATCAATCTTGTAATATACACAACAATCAATAATACATTGAATTTTATCAATGCTTGTGGGGATTTTGGAAGCTGTAACAGTGAGAATAGTGGATTGAAGTACTGTAAGTGTTTGCCGGGTTTTGTGCCGAACTCACCAAATGAATGGAATTCTGGTGAATTTTCAAGCGGGTGTACTAGGAAGACAACTACGTGCTTGACGGATAAGAAGAAGTACACATTCTTGAAGTTGAAGATTATGACAGTGGAAGATCCAGGCTCACTACCTGAGGCAATAAGTGAGGAGGATTGCGAAAATGAGTGTGTGGGACATTGCAATTGCCAGGCGTATTCTTATATCGCATCATCTGTTGATGCACAAAGAGTCACTAGTACAAACTCATCTAGGTGCAGAATTTGGACGGAGAATCTCAGAAATCTTCACGAGGATACGGAAGGTGCTTATAACCTATCAGTCCGTGTAGCCCGTACAGATATAGGTACTTTACTTTCTTCCCTTCCAGAAAAAAGGGTGCCCCTCTATGCATTTAAATTTGATATGAGTATTTTAATTCATATATTTCAAATTTTGTACACTTTTCAACATATATATATGTACTTTTTTTTTAAATAAAAATTTATAATATCATGACATTATTGTATAACATTACTGGCAAACATTAGACTAGATCTACTCTAGCTAAACTTGCCTGATTTCAATCTTAACCAAACAATTTATCCTTCTGACTAATTAGGCTAATTCAGTTTGGCCACTCCTTAACTGAGGGGCCAAGATCAATCCTTTGTTGCTGTTCGGCTTGCTGGCTTGTATTGTTGGACTTTCTTACAGAGCACTGATGATCTGGCCCAATGGCCCTGTTTCATGGGGCAATAATAGACCCATATTTCAGAAATGAGGTAAATTGTTACAACTCAGACACTATCGACCTATCTTTTGGCCTATAAAAGATTTTTCTTCTTAAATAGTTGATTGTCGACTTTGAGATTTTAAGGACATGGTCCTTGACTGATTTGTAGCAAGGCCTAAATGGTTTATGCTCTTGATTTTGCAGAATCAACATCAAGAGATTGCGAGCCTTGTGGTGCTAACATTCTACCCTATCCCCTATGCACTGGACAAAATTGCGGCGACCCAATGTACAACAATTTCCACTGCAACAAGTCCACAGGACAAGTTGAGTTCCAGGAACCAAGCGGCATCTACAGAGTTACAAGCATCAATCCAGATAATCTTACATTTATCATCCAACTTACAGATACAGTTAAAAATGCCGATATCTGTTGTTCTAAAAATTTTCGTGTCAGTCCATCAGTACCGTATAAAGTGATTGGTAGCTCGTGTAATGCTAGCTTAGCTGTAGAGATTAGTTGGGATCCAACACCACAGCCGACCTGTACTTTGTTAGAAGATTGCACGGATTGGCCTAATTCAAGTTGCAATACAACAGAAGACGGCAAGAGAAGGTGCCTTTGCAATGCAAACTATCATTGGCATGGCTTGGAATTAAATTGTACTAGTGTTCTAGGTGAGGATGCTATTACTATACATATAATGAACTATAGACTAATAGCATCATGTGTGAGTGTGACAGTAATTTTCCAGAAAAATTTTCTTGATCCAAAGAGAAACAGGCCTTGTGTACAAATTTTTACAAGTTCTATTAGTGTTTAAACAACTTCAGAAAGTGTTTCGCTGATTTACACAAACACTTGAGAATCACAACTCAAAAATGTCAATGGGGAAAAAAAAACAATTATATTTGATATGTTGGACTTCCTTGTTTTTACGGGTTTATATCAATTCATATCATCACAAAACACTACAATAGCGACCATAAAATGATGAAACTATTTTTGTTTTGTTTCAGGAAACGACAACAGCACTAGGAAAAAAAAGAAGTTATTTTCTTTTGTGATCCATTTTATGGTTGCGATAATCCTGGTTGTGCTCATATGCATCGGTGGCTATATTTGGTACAAAAGAAGGAAGCTAAAACAAAGACAAGGTACTTACTACTATATAGTGTTTGCGTTTTCTGTTCTTCAATATAACAAGCATGTATTGTCACACCCCGAATCCGGGCATGACCGGCCGTGGCCCACAGGGACTTAGCCCAAGGCACACGTAAGCCTAAACACGAATCCAATCACATTGAACAACTGAACAATAGTCCAATAATAAATAACCAAAACTCAATCCAGACATGCCACAATTATAAACGGCAAAATCAACCGTAATCAAAAACCATCCAAACTTATGGGATATAAACAACCCACATATCAAAAATAATCCTAAATGAACTTCGATAAGAATAAATATAAATATGCACAAACTTGACATAACACTCTAAACTAAAGGAATGCCCTAGAGGTCCATGCAATTGAGTCCCCGCTACGCCATGAGTCCACTCTAAGTCCTTCTAACACCTGGAAATGATAAAAACTAAGTCAGTTGATAGCTCAGTGAGTAGCAACATGGATAGTAAATACAGTTTTGAAAACAAGGTTCAATTCCAAAATAAGATATATATCACAGAAACTAGATTGGCATACAGTTTGGAAAATACAATCTGTTTCAAAAAGAAGGTTCCACAGTTCAACACTTAAAATACTCATGTCTCGCAAGAACATGATAAAAAGTGCTGTACGGAACTAAGTGCTACACTATCGTGGGAGTCACCTCTAGAATCCGTACGAGCCACCTCTT